GTATTAAAAAAAAATTCATGGATTGTCTTTGAATGAAAACTTGAATATTTGAGGATGAAATCTGACGTGCGAAGTTTTTTAGAGGAAATTAAATTTTTTTTTAAGGTCCAAGGTGTTGTGACCGACGGACGGATGTTCCGATATAAAGCGGTTAATTATTCAAACGCATTTGTGTCCTAGATACCGAATGCAATAACGAAATCTCTATATATTGCATTGCTGATCTACATTCTATCAACTCTCACCTTTCTTGTCGGCGATCGTTTATAGTTGACCTCGTTGCTCCGGAATTGTCGGTATCGATCGAACTTCGATGTATATTTCAGCGCAACGTGGAATTTCCTGGGGAGAATTGGGGAATTTGCGGATTAAAGGATTTGGACGTTGGAGTATTCGGAATTTGACGAATTTGGGAATTGAAGAGATGGGGAAATAGGAATTTTGGAATGTGGAGAATTTAGGAACTTGGGAATTTGAGAGATTGCGAATTTGGGAAATAAGGAATTTTGGGACTAGGTGGTTGGAGAGATAGCTAATTTGGAACCTAGAAAATTTGGAAGATTGCAAATCTGGGAAATAAAGAACTTGAGAACTAAGGAATTTGTAAAATACTAAATTTGGAAAAGAGAAAAATTGGGGAATAGGGAATTTTGGGATTATTGAATTTGTAACGTCTTCCTAAAATTAATTCAGAAGCAAAAACTCAATCCAATTGCCTCCAATTGTATTACAACAGTTTTACTTACCGTCGCAGTTAGCTACCATTATTAGCAAGATACAATATTCAAGATATAATATCATTCAAAAGCACTCGATGCCAAGCTTCTTCGTTTAATTTTAAACTTGTCTTTGTTGACAAGTATCAAAAGTCTAGCAAGATATTTCCGTGCAATTTACATTAATATAAGAGTAAAGAAAGAGAGAGAGAGAGAGTATCGTAAAGTAAAAAGGAGGTTGCGGAGTCCTAAAGCAAAGCAATCAAAGTAATTGGCAATTTTCTACCGGAGTTCGATCCTTTCGTCGGCATTTCATGGTCAACGTCCTTCGTTTTCTCTCTTTCACTGGCAGAAATCGTGTATTTAAACGGAAACTAATGGACCGTTTATTGACCGAAACACTTTTCTTTTGGCCGATCTTGCACCAATTCGATTAGTCCCCTTCGACCTTTCATTATCAGCCATTTCCTTCCTGTATGCTTCGATTAATCCGTAACAAAATTATTACTTTAAACCAATAATTATTATTTAGGATTCAATACGGGTTTCTGGAGGTACTTTAACCATTTTTCATTCCTTCATTTATTGTTTCAATTCTTTATCACAACAGCAGGAACCAAGGAGTTATTATTTTCCGAGTATTTTTTGGTTTGTTAGTCACAGCTGGTTGTGAACCAGGTTGAGTATCAGGTTTTAGGTCTTAAGTATTAGTTCCAAGTGTCAGGTTTCAGGTATCAAGTATCGGGATTCTATTATTAAGTATCAAGTTCCAAGCGTCAGGTTTCAGGTATCAAGTATCAGGTTTCTATTATTAAGTATCAAGTTCCAAGTACCAGGTTTCAGGTTTCAGGTTTCAGGTGTCAGGTGTCGGGTTTCAGGTATCAGGTGTCAGTTATCGGGTTTCAGGTATCAGGTTTCAGGTATCAAGTACCAGGTTTCAGTCATTAAGTATCAAGTTCCAAGTGTCAGGTTTCAGGTATCGGGTTTCAGGTATCAAATATCAAGTTCCATGTATCAAATATCAAGTTTCAAGTATCAAATATCAAGTCTGGTCGTTTGAAGTGAAATTTATTTAGATACAGTCCGCTTATACTCGTTGGGAATCTAATGATTCGCGTCGTTTAATCGTCACTTAATATTGCTGACGCTGCGACGCGCATACACTTAGTTCTTAACCCCTTGCCTTATGATTTATCAGGTGCGTCAGTCGGAACTAACTGATCACAGCTACAATATTAAAACAGAGAAGAAAAGTTGAAGTGTTATGTCAATTTTGTATTCGGCAATCCTTGACCATGCAAATTATAATTGGACTTAAACTCCAAATTGAAGCGTATTCAAAATTCGAGTAAGATTTGTCACGTTTGAAGCGTGCATATGTGGGTTGAGTGTGTCATGAGTATCTTGAGTGCGTCATCTGTAGCTTGACTGCGTCATCTATAACTTGAGTGCGTCACTTATAGCCTGAATGTCTCACTTGGAGCTTATGTGCGTCATGTGTAGGTTCAGTGCGTCATCTGCAGATTCAGTGCACCCTATGTAGCTTGAATGCGTCATCTGTAATTTGAGTGCGTCATTTCTAGCTTGAGTGCGTCATGTGTAGGTTCAGTGCGTTATGTGCAGATTCAGTGCGTCCTATGTAGCTTGAATACGTCATCTTTAGTTTGAGTGCGTTATATGTAATCTCGAATGCATCATGTGTATTCTTCAGTGCGTCATATTTAATCTTGAGCGCGTCATATGTAATCTTGAATGCGTCATCTGTATTCTTGAGTGCGTCATATGTAATCTTGAGTGCGTCATCTATAGCTTGAGTGGGTCATGTCTAACTTGACAATTGTTGTTTTTGAAAAATCGACCTAAAAAATTAAGTATCAAGAAGCATAGCTATTTCATGCGATTTTGTATAAGTTGAGTTGTAAGATCGTTTAAAGTTTATGAATCGTACTGGTAATTTTATAGGATTTTTCCCAGCCAACATATGTCAGGCGGCAATTATTCGAAGAACGCAATTACGCTCGAAAGTTGACAGAGTGGCATCGATTTTTCTTACTTAATTGAACCTATTTTATCGGACATGTCCATTAAAACGTCGATGCAAGCTACGGCTCAACACCTATACATACATACCGTATCAACCTCTCAAATTATTTACAACGAGCGAAGTAATTGGCAATTTCCTCTTGAAATCGTTGTCTCAAACAACGTCCACTGACAAAAAAACGTAATAGACTACTTACCGGTGCACTTGTCGCCTACCCTTCGGTGGCATCGATCAATTTCCATGTAAATATTCTTTAAATACTCGACGCTTTTTAATTATTCCATTGTGAGCGTATCGGAAATTCGATTACGGATTAATTAACGTCGCTTTGGTCGCGTTGCTTATTCGAAACCCAAGGTTTCAACCATTTTCTTTCACGTATACAGGTATACACGAATGTGTAATTCACGCTAATCCCGGACTAATGTCCGATAACGTTACTTATCGCGACGAGCTTTTCGAATAAAAACGCGTAAGCTTATCTAGCGGTAAATAACCTAATCGTGGCAATTATGCAGGGACAGACGAAGATTCAGGTGCTTTCTATTTCTCCCTTTACCTATCTTCGTGTTTTCGGTTCTGGTTTAAATTTGAAAAGTTACTTTTCCAACATATTCTGTATTTGTGGTACTTGAAAATTTATTTAGGTCTTGTAAAATTTAAGTCTCTTCCATCTTGTTATACTCAAAAATTTGGTTCTATCCAATAATATTTAAAAATTCATCTAAGTTTCTCCTATTCCATCCAACGTTATAAATTACACAAAATTTGCAGCAATAAATTAAAATAATTCCACAGACGAAAACTCTGGGAAATTAGAGTTCGAAAATTCAGGGAAAGACGAAAATCTTCGGATACAAAGGAAATGCATTTAAAGCACTAGATTTCAAAGGCAGAACGGGGTCTTTAGAGTTAATACACAACAGAGTTCTAGTCACGATTCGATCACCGTTGAAACGTCGTTTGCTACACTGGAAACGCGATTGCCAGTTGAACACTATCGTGCTTTAGTCGATTCACTGGGACACTAAACAGTGATTGAAGTGTGACTTAACTGCGATTGAATCGTTACTGTGAATTGAGGTTTAAGATCGAAACTGGATCGATGAAAATTTCGATGCTTGTACGCTGATTTGATCGCGTTGTCTCCCGAGTATTTTCTTTCACTAACAATTTTAGAGTTTTATGGATTTAAAGGTGGACGTTGATGCAACATTTTTAGGGGCTTTTATTTTTCAGGAAAATATTTATCAGTTTTTTTTTTAATGTGTTAGAATTTTTGTTTACAAAGTTTTAGTAATTTTTTCTTTTGGAAGGTTGTCAGTAATTAATTTTGAAATTTTCTTGTGAAGGTAATTTTTTTATTTTAATTTTATTAATTTAGTTATCTGATGTTTTAAGGGGTTACCAATCGAAATTTTAGTGGACCCTACAATTAGATAATTATTATTATGATTGAGGAATTTTCAGGAATTAATATTTGCAGATTCGAATCAATTTCATAAAATTTTTAATAATTACTTTGAAATTCTAGGGTGACATATATCGAAATTTTAATCAGACTTTTAATAATTAATATTTGTAGATTTGAATCAGTATTTTATAACATTCTCAATAATTAATTTGAAATTTTTAGGTGACTAAAATCTACAACCCAAATTTTAATCGACTCTCAATAAATTAGTACTTGTAGATTTAAATTAATAACCTTCTCCAAATTTTTTGACAATTAATTTAAAATTCTTAGATGACCTAATACACTCAAAATTTGACCAGAATTTTAATAATCTATATTTGCAAATTTTAATTGCTCCCTCTTATAAACATAGTGTAAAATAATTTTGAAGCACTGTTTATTTTGAAACAGATTGTATTTCCTCGTGTTATTTAGCTGTTCCAAATGTTTCAATGCTATTTCAGCTTGTTTTTGTTAACGCTGCAGCCATGATTTTTGAAAGCGGAGAAATATTACGTATCCTTCGTTCTGAAGTTTATTTTGTCCTCGTCGCGTATAAAATGTTACAGAAATATCGATTTCGATGAATCTCGTGTATCGAGTTGTTTGAATCGGTCGAACTATTTGTTTCGGGTGAAAAATGAAAAATATGTAAAATACGAACGAAACGTAACACCGGTAGCACACGTATATTTTCTGTATCTTTACTTCTTCGATATCACTATTTACTGTATAATTATTCCACAATTTCTCTAATAATCCTTGATTATATTTCTGATTACAGGGACTACTATTACGACAGGTGAGTCCAACGGTGATAATTTTGCTCAACAGATGTAAGTTCATTTCAATTTTAATCATAATTTTTTCCAAACTATACAAATTTCTTTATGGGTCAAATCGATCACTTTTGATCGCCACCATATGCGATTTTGCTCTAATCAAAATGTGTTGTAGTCCATGTGAAATTAAGGGGGGTTTAAGTCATCATTTTGCCGGTTTAGAATTTATTAAGGAATACCAAGCCTTCAAAGTTTGAATAACAAGCCTTCAAAGTTTGCAATTTTTGCCCACTTTTGCGAAAATAGGCTTCACTTACGAATTTTTTTCTCAGAAACTACCCAACGAATTTAGCTAAATTCTTTTCTGTCTTATTCACAAAGGATTGGGCTATTTTAAAATATTTTTTAAAATTTCGTCAATTTGTTATAAAATGGCGAAAAATTTAAACAAATTCTTTCTAAACAAATTCTTTTTTTGCGTTTTTCTCAATGAGGGGCGTAAAGGGTTAAAATTTAAAAAAAATATGGTCATATTCTTTGAAGCTTCCCCTTTAAAATGAGCCCTTCAGAACAATGGAGACTCGAAAACTGACGTCACTACAAACTGGAAAAGACGGGTACCTCCGTTTTAGGTAGGCGAGTCGCGCGTTCAACTTGCTTTGGGACCAATTGCAACATTTTATAACAAATTGACGGAATTAAAAAAAATATTTTGAAATAGCCCAATCCTTCTTGAATAAAACAAAAAAGAATTTAGCTAAATCGGTTGAGTAGTTTCTGAGAAAAATTTCTGAGAAAAAAATTCGTA